TTTCATCAGCTTATCAGTTGCTTTCAAACCTGAACCTGTCAGGATGGAGACGGTAGTATCCCCTGCGTGGATAATTCCCGATTCCACAAACTTATCAAACGCTTTGACGATAACGGCGGAAGTGGGTTCAACGTAGATGCCTTTTGAGGCGAGGGCTTTAATTCCGAACTCGATTTCCCCCTCATCAGCGATTGTGATTGCGCCGTTGGTTTCGCGGAGTGCCTGCATAATTGTATTCCCGCGGATCGGTGCTTCCGATGTGATGCCCTCCGCAAGCGTCTCATAAGTTTGGGGAGACCTTTCGACCTGCGCCCTGTTTTCGGAATACGCCTTGTAAACTGGGCAGCACGCAGCGGATTGAACGCCAAGTAAGCGAGGGATTTTGGTGATAATCCCCTGTGCCTGAAGCTCTCCAAATCCGACCCACAAGCCCATATAGACGCTTCCAAACCCTATTGGACAGATGATATGGTCTGGAGCCTCCCAACCGAGCTGCTCCGCGATCTCGAAGCGATGGTTTTTGTGCCTTCCAAAAAGAAGGGATTCCAGTTGTGCGAGGCGTAATAGGTAGTCTCCGCCGCTTCGAGGACTGCCTGCGTCGTGGCAGCGCGATTTCCTTCGATCAGTTTTAGTTTCGCACCGTACATCGAGATCTGCGCGAGCTTGCCTTTCGAGGCAGACGTCGGGCAGTAGATTGTGCAGTCAATTCCCGCCTTCGCGCTATACGCCGCGATCGCTGCCCCCGCGTTCCCCGACGAATCCTCGACAACCTCTTGGACGCCGAGTTCCTTGACTTTGGATAACAGGACGGCAGCCCCGCGATCTTTGTACGAACCTGTTGGGCAAACAAAATCCAACTTCAGCCGATGGTCATGTGTGCTATTATCAAAGGATACGAGCGGCGTCATCCCTCTCCGAGCGAGATGATTGATGCCTCATCCGCAATTGGAAGGGCTTGGCGATAACGCCAGAGTGTGCTGTCGTCCTTGAAAACCCGGTCAATTGAAAATACGCCCTCTGTTTTTGTCAGTTGAAGTGGTTGACCGCAATCGCATTTGTAGCGTAGGGCGTCGATACGGTATGTTGCATTGCACTGATCACAGATATATTCGATCATTTTATTTTTCCATGCTGTCGGTTTGTGCTTATGAATTCTCTAGTTTCTCAACCAAGTCTTTGACTTCCTGTACACGATCAATAGGACAGACTAACACCGCACACTCCGATTCTACGATGACAAGGTCGCTTACCCCGATGGTGGCAATCAGTTTGCCCTCGATAACATCGGGATTCTGTGCAGTCTGATTGAAAATGATACAATCTTGGGTATCTATTCCTATGTGCCTCCCACGTACAGTGTTTCCAGACGTATCCCGTTCACACAGTTCGTGCATTGCCCCCCAACCTCCCACATCATTCCAACCAATATCCGCGGGAATTACCAGTACCTCCTTCGCCTTTTCCATCACACCGTAATCAATGGAGATCCCCTCCATTTGGGAGTAAGCGTGAGATATTGCCTCAGCCTCGCTTGCAGTTCCGATAGCGGCATCGATCTCCATTAACTTCTGATAAATGGACGCCTGATAGGTCTTGATAGCGTTGAGAATGACATCAACCCGCCACACAAACATGCCACTATTCCAGAGGTACTCTCGACTCTCAAGGTACTTCTCTACGGTTTCCCTGTCCGGTTTTTCGACAAATTGACGGACTTGGAAGGCTTGAAAATCATCCGCTGTATGGGCTGTCGCTCCAATATGGATGTAACCGTATCCGGTTTCAGGGCGGGTGGCGGTAACCCCGAAAGTGATTAACACGTCATCGTTTGCCGCAATGTTTGCGGCATATTGCAGCAACTTACGGAATCGCTCCTGATGTTGGATAACACTGTCCGCGGGTAACACAACCATGACGGCATCATCGCCCCGCCATTTTCTCAGATAGAGGGCTGCCAGACCAATACATGGCAGGGTATTCCGTCCCACCGGTTCCACGATGATGTTTTCTGACGGGAGGTCAGGGAGGTGGTGCTTCGTCGCCGATACCAAGGATTCTCCGGTCACAACATAGATATCCTCCAACGGCATGAGTGGGGTGATGCGAGCCACCGCTTGTTCCAGCAAACTGGTGTCGCCTACCAGAGATAGCAGTTGTTTGGGTTGATCTTCGGTGCTTAGGGGCCAAAAGCGGGGCCCTTTTCCGCCAGCCATAATAACGGTATACATGCTGCCTCCCGACCCGACTTTCGGGGTTTTCAGGATTCAATCTTAGTTAATCTTTCTTAACACTATCATCAACAAGCCAATATTTGAGAATGACATAAATCGCAACAATCCCATCTTTCCATTTAATCTTTTTGCCTTCGGCGTAGGTGCGGGCGTGGTAACTGATGGGAACTTCGTGGACGCGTAATTTCCGCTTGGCAATTTTCGCTGTGATCTCTGGTTCAATACCAAAACGGTTTTGACCGTAACGGCATTGTTTTCAAAGCTTGTAAGCGAAACGCCTTATAGCAGGTTTCCATGTCCGTCAGATTGAGGTTTGCAAACCTGTTACTCAAAAATGTTAGAAATCTGTTCCCTAAAGCATGTTTGGAGTATAAGTCCCGCCCCTCCTTTTTTATGATAAAGCGAGATCCATAAACTACGTCCGCATCACCCTGTAGAATGGGAGTCAACACTACCCGGAAATCATTCGGATCGTATTCGAGATCCGCATCTTGGATAATGGCTATGTCTCCAGAAGCGACTTTAATCGCTTTACGGATCGCAGCACCTTTCCCTTGGTTCTTTTTTTGAAAAATAGGTTGAATTTGTGGATAAATATTGGCTAGCTGTTCGATAATTTCGGTGGAACCGTCGGTTGACGCATCGTCTACGATTACGAGTTCAAGGGAATTGATGCCGTTGATTCGCTGTTCAAGCACGCGGGAAACGATCTCTGCAAGCGTTTTTCTCTCGTTGTAAACTGGCATCAAAACACTTAGCTTCATTAAGCACCGATCTTCCAGTCGCCCCGCTGGGGATTTGTTTAGGTGACAACCTCGGTTACAATAAGATCTCCGAAAGTCAAACCATATCTTCCATCACTACCACCAACTATATACGGAGGTGGTGAGGATGAGGCTCAGGATGGGCCAGAAGCAGCCCATCACCGCTTCGCCGAGAACCAGTCCCACGAAAAAGGGAATTGCGGCACGATACGCTCTGATGCCGCCATGCTTGATTAGTAGCCACTTGGTAATCATTGCGATCGCTACAGGGAACCAGATCATATCCGTTGTGCCGGGCGCAAGGCCGATCACGTAGCCTGCCGGGTGAAGTGGACACCAAACGAACCGGGCACGCAGAAACATTATACCAAGGTTCACGAAAAAAGCGCATCCGAGGATGCTCATTGATAACCAATTGGTTGGCTTAGGGTTGACCAACCAACCGGAGAGATAATTGTAAGTTCCCGAACCGCCGGCATGAATCTGTTCAGAGCCCGCCGCAACCCCCGTCTTGTAAATGGTATATGGATAAAGGATGAGACTGGATTCGATACCTACAATGCTGGCAATGATCAGCACAATGAACATCGTCCGATTTCTGATGTTAGTCCGCTCTGCAAGTTTGAAGGACTCAAGCTGATCGGGCATCGGGTGGGTCCGGAATCCAGCACCGCTGAGCCAGTTCATCAAAGAGAGTATCGTTAAATTCCCCGGTTTTAGGCGTCGTGTCCCAACATGGCAACCATAAGATATTGTGGGTTTATGTAGCCGATGGAGTGAATCGGTGGTCCGAGTTCCGCCCGCATACGCGCCAACCCGACAACAATCGCGAAGTAAATACCGATAAAAACAGCATACCCCCAGAATGACATCCCACCCTTTATGCAGAAAACCATCAACACCAAGAGACAGATAAATAGTGTGACGACAGCAGTTCGGTAAGAGATTGGCTCGTTCGCCTCGTCAACCCGATCTGGACGGATGACGCGCGAGAGGACTTGTGCAAAATGCCTTCTGCCAGTCCAACAGGTCACGACGAGTAAAGCAAACAAGGCACCCGTGCCCTGTTCCCCCAAGAATGGGTAGCCGGGAATACTCCTGATGCCTGCCATGCTGCCAAAGACAAGTTGTGCCTTCCGCATGAGATAAAAAAACGTACATGAAAAGGAGAGATCTAAGGGGAGGACAAAGGAAAGACCAATCAGGTACGGGTGAAAATAAAAAGAGGTGCTGCCCATCGCATTCCACGGTTTCTGTGAAAAGCTGAAGACGTTTCTGGTGCGGTCATTAATGGGCAGAGAGGGTATGATGGGGAAAAAAAATGCAATCCCGTTCAGCAGGTCAATTCCGAAGGCGATGCCAAAACCGATCCACAGGACACGGTTCCTGAAGATGCTTCCGGATTCGGCTGTGATTTCGAGGGGAATTTGGATAATTCGGATACGCCAATTTCTCACGATCGACCCACTGTCTTCTGATGAGCGATGTCAGGCAGAGAAAAATGAGCATCAACGAGAAGATGACAATCGACCACGATAGGATGGGCGTCACCCAATACCGCACGTAACCGCCGGTAAAGAAATTGACATTCCCTTCGTAAAAATCGTTGACGGTCTTCGGATCGGAGATGACCAGCCAATCCGGCAAGTGGTGGAACAGTAACGCCGCCCAGTCGTTTTCAGGGGTCGCAAAGCGGAAGGCGTAGGGCATCAGTCCCATCAAGCGGGGCATGGCGTCGTGTCCTGAGAAGCAACTTCCTACCGCAAGCATCGCATAGATAACGAGTAGGTCCTGTTGATTGAGGGCAGCTTTGGGCGAGATCTGACGAACGATTATGTTTTAGCCATGTTATCATCAGGACAGCAAACATGACGTTGACCGACAGCGAAACAGTTGTCAGATGCGCCGTGTGCCATATCATTTCGACATAGGCGATCCAGTAACTGTTGGCGATGATTAGCAACACGCCGATCAGCACCGCACGCTTTTTGATTGAGGTTATCGCGTTTGTATTCTGCATGGCAGGAAATAGACGAGGATTCTGGAGGAAATCAGAAAGAAGAAAGCCCCACACCAAAAGGTGGGGGCTTTACAAAACATACCTTAGAATATAAACGACTGAATGTAGGAGAACAGATTTATCAACGCGTTTTCAGTAAACCCCAAGAGGTTGTTAGCTTATCACCCGGTTCAACGGAGCGTCCTTTGAGGCCCGTCACAAAAACATCGTCAAATGAAGCAATAGCAGCCTCTGTACCTACGCCGACACGTCCTTTTTTATTACCGTTTATATCCTTTCCATCATAGATTAGTTCATCATTAAGAAACAGCTGCATGATGCTGCCTTGGTTCACAATTTTGACATGCACCGGCTCATTTCCTAGCTTGTGCTTTGTCTCAGTACCGTCTTTGATGCTGGTAATTCCTCTAAGGTCCCGGAGGACAAACGAGGCCTTATTTTCCCAACCAATTTCCCACCAAAGTTTGATACGGGATTTTTCGTTGGCAAGCCGCCCCTTAACGGGACCATCAAGCGTAAACGACCGGACGTCGTCTCTGCCGGGACCGGGCTGCATATCGTCGTTAATCCGCCAGAAGATGCGAACCCCGTTGCCTCCCCTAAGTTTTTTTGCGGTCACTTCAAAAATATACTCATTCCAGGTATCATCCCAGAAATCATCTGAAACCACGGCGATGGTGCGTCCCTCAGGATTGTTTTGTCTGAGTTCTCCTTGCTGAACATCCCACCCTCCTTGTAAAAACGCCCATTATCTTCGGAGCGGTTCGGCTTTGAAAAATTATCCTCAAACAGGACCTGCGCCGTAGCAGGAGAAGCAAGTAGGAGGAGCACAACGAAGCACGCCCCTACAAGATTATATGGAATTGATAATACTTTCTTCATATCGCTCCCTCCTAGAGATAAACAACTACACGCAACAAAATAGATTTATAGTAAAGTCAAAAAACACTTGAGCACTCTTTAGCACGACGTGCGATAAATCGCATTACTACAAACACCACTCTGTTAAGGAGTGGGTGTATATTTAATTGTAAGCCTTACTATATTAACGAGTTTTCAGCGAACCCCAAGTGGTTGTTATTTTGCCCCCGGGCTCGACTCCTTGTCCTGCAAGGTCGGTGACAACAACGTCGGTGAAGGTAACGGCTGTCGCATGGGTGCCTACGCCAATCCTGCCACCTTTTTTGCCACCATTGATGTCCTTGCCGTCAACGATCAATTCGTCGTCAAGATATAACTTAAATAAATTACCATCATTTTCAATTTTGACCCGAACCTCTTTATTTTTCGAGAGTTTATGTTTCGAGTCTGTCTTATCTTTATCTCTGGCAATTCCGTTAACGTCTCTCACCAAAACCGACAGTTTGTCTTCACGACCGATATCCCACCAAAATTTAATCCGACCCTTGCCTATCTCTTCAAGGCGTCCTTTTACGCCGGCTTCACCTGCACAGAGCGAACTGTTAAAACCGTCGCCACACTCTCTGCCAACTTGGTTTTTCATATCGTCTCTGATACGCCAGAAAACTAGGGCACCATTGTCGCCCCTGAGTTTCTTTACGGTTACCTCGAAAATATACTGTGTCAGCGCGGTCTCCTTGGTATCATATTCTGCTGGCCAAGCGTCGTCCGAAAGGACAGCAATTGTGCGATTTTCCGCTGCATTCTGTGTCAACTTACCGCCCTGAACTTTCCAGTCTCCTAGAACGAAGATCCAGTTCTTTTTCGATTTCTCTGCATTTTTGAAGTCATCCTCAAAAAGGATTTTCGCTGTTGCTGTAGAACAAAGCAACACAAAAATGATAAGACACGCACTTATGAGATTAAAGGACATTGACAACACTTTCTTCATGATAATCCCTCCTTAAATAATTAAAGTAAAGGGGTAACCAATTGGTTACCCCTTCAGAGATACAAGCATCAAGTGTGACCTAATCCTACGACATACACCTTATTGGGTCGCTTTTTTTCTTGAGATTTCCCCATGTTGTTGGAAGTTTATCCTGGGGTGTAACAGCGCGGACACCGACGAAGTTCAGGTCGCCAAATGTACAAACATTGTTATCATTCTCGAAAGAAGATGCCCAAGAGATGGCTCCATCTCTGGCTTGACCGAAATTATCAAAATCTTCATTAGTGCTATCAAAACCCCACTTGACTCCATCAATCGGAGACAGGAGATCGGGTGCTTGTGCGGTTTTGAAGATGGTTCTGAAGTTCAGTTTGCCTTCAACATCGTACCCATCTCCCGTGCGGTTGGTGGTCAGATTCTCTGTGCATTCTTCGTCAAAGAGGGTTCTATCGCCCAATACAGCATTCTGACCATTGTTTTCCCAGCAACCCGGGGTAGTAAGTCCTTTAGAGAACATCTTCAGCCGATAGAAATGATCGCCTGCAATGTAGAGGCAGTGTACACCTGGTGGTCTAAGTGCCGCTAGCTCCCGGTCATCATTTCCTTTGGGAACCTTCGGCGCATCGTGTTCATAATCAAATTCCAGCCACAGCTGATCCATGTTTGAAGTGACACCACCTTTTCCTGTAACATCATCATCATCAATGTTATCGAACACGATATCATCTTTGATAATATACGCATAGTAGAGCCACTCCTCGTCGAACAGGAATGCAAACTCCGCGCTCCAGTCGGTGTCATCGTCAATAACGCCACGACTGATTCGGTTCGGCGAGGTCTCATCAAAGAGAAACCAATCGGGAGTATCTTCGGGTTTCATGTGCATATCAGCGGCCTGAGAGTCCGCCCAAATTTCCTGCCACTGAGGGTCGTTAGGGTTTCCATCGATCTCCGGTGGCTTATCGACGAAAAACGCCTTCGCTTGTCCGCCAGCGTGAGCAAATACAGATGTTGCAGAAAACAGCATTACGAGTGCCATTGTGCATAGGATAGCATACCTAAACATGATTTTATCTCCTCCAATTTTAGAGTAAAGTGATAAAGCGATGGTTAAAATCCCATCTGAAATTGCGCAATTTATTGCACTGTTAAACAATTTAATTTTAATCTTTCAGACGAGATACAACCGCATTGGCACTGCATCTCGTCTACCGACGCGCCGCCGAAGGGATATTCATAGCGCGCTCACATTTTTCAAAACTGTCTATCACTTCATTCTGTGATAGTTAAGTTCAAGCTCTCCCTTATGGAACATTGGGGGACAGTTTATCGGTCACTTTTCAGATCACCCCAAACTGTTGCCAACTTACCTTTTGCTTCGGCGGAAAAAGGGTTGCCTTCAGGTGTCGTGACGAACACGTCATCAACCGTGATCTTACCGTCAACGGTCCCGAAAGCGATCCGTCCTTGACCTTTGTTATTGATATCTTTTTTACCTAAGGCTTCAAGGTCAACAATCGGCTCACCATAATTCCCCGCAGACACTGCCCCTGCATTCTCTGTCAAATACAGGGTATAGGTCTTCGGACCGTTTTCGATTTTCATATAATACTCTGTCCCGCCGTTGAGCTTTGTCTTGGTTTCGGTTATTTCATGGCTTGACAATCGTCCGTATGTCACGCTGGACGACCGCGCCTCCATCCGGTTTGTTGAACCACCAATAGATCACATGACGGCGACCACTCTCTTGCATCTGCTTGGGCAGGTCCCGGCGGGAGAAAAGTTACCACCTTGTGAACCATCGCTATGAAACCGCCAGAAGATGGCCGGCTGCGAATTGCCCGCAGAGCGATTTTTGCGTAGAACCAGTAATCATTCCATTCTACATCCCAATGGTCATCAGCCACCATGATTAGGCTTTTATCAGCCGATGTGTTTTTTAGTTCTCCGCCTTGAATTGCCCATTTGCCGAGGGCGACATGCCATTTTCCTGAACCATCTAACTTACCACCCTTGAAATTATCCTCAAATAAAATCTCCACGGCTTGAACGAAGCTCGGTGCGATGAACGAGAAACTCGTAAAAACTGCGATTGCGGCAAACAGGTATAGTTTGCACAAACTGTTAGTTTTATGCACGGCTAACTCTCCTTTCAAGTTTCGATTGTGACAAAAACATGTCAATCACACTACAAAGGTAACAGTCTTTTAACATAAATTTATGGTATGTTAACCTAAGTTGCTAGTTGCGTTATAATACTACAATGTCGTCCTGTCCCAATAGGATTGGGATTCAAAGCAACTGGGACTGTATTGATTCATTAGTTCATTGGATTGGTGAAGCCTATACACATTGCGCTCCGCCCCGATAGAATCGGGCGGGATTCAAAACTGGAGCGCAGGAATTGGACGCATTGGCATATCCTCTGGAGCGAAAGGGCATCTATCTACTGCATCGTAGGGAACAACGATCGTTGTTCTCTACAACCCATATGCCCACTACTAGCAGCTTACGTTATACTATCAAAAATTCAATTTGATGTCAAGGAAAAAACTCATTTTAATTGACCTCAGTCTTAAGTGAGTGTAGCAAATATGAGGGCTTGCTGAGTAATAGTAATAGTTATAAAAAAGGGGTGTCAGCTAAAGAAAAGGCCCCATGGAACCGTTAATTGAGAAATTGATGATTGCTAATTCAAAAAAACGCTCAGTCCAGTCATCAGTAGCCAATTTCATGGGGCTTGACGAAGAATGTATTTGGGAATGTAAACAACTGAATGCAAGAAATTCAATTTATCGCAGGGCTTTCAGTGAACCCCAGGTGGTCGTTAGCTTATCACCCGGTTCAACGGACCGCCCCTCAGGCCCGTTACAAATGCATTGTCAAATTCAGCAGTCGCGCCTTTGGTGCCGACGCCAACCCGCCCTCCCTTATTCCCGTTTAGGTCCTTCCCGTCAAAGACCATTTCACCGTCAAGAAACAACGTCATGAGATTGCCTTGATTGACGATCTGATTTGGGACCGGATCATTTCCCATCTTGTGTCTTGTTTCGGTCCCCTTTTTTCTTGCAGCAACTCCCCTGACGTCTGCAATGACAAATGACTCCTTGTTTTCCCAACCAATTTCCCACCAAAACTTGATACGACTTTTTTTCTCGGCGAGGCGCCCTTTCACAGGGGCGTTGAGCAAAAAGCCCGCGCCTCTGCCGGGAGCGGGTTGCATATCGTCATTGATCCGCCAGAAAATGCGAACTCCGTTTTTCCCTCTGAACTTTCTGGCGGTCACTTCAAAAATATATTCACTCCACGTATCATCCCAAAAATCATCTGAAATGACAGCAACGGTTCGTCGTCTGAGCATCTTGTTTGAGGGCACTGCCTTTCACCGTCCACTTGCCCTGCAAAAACGCCCATTTCTTTTCAGAGGTGGCGCCTTTGAGAAATCATCCTGAAATAGATTTGAGCGGTGGCAGGGAGACATACGATGGAAGCATCATAGCACCGGCCAAATGCTAGCGTGAATAAAGTCGATAAAATGTCTTCATCACAATCCTCCTTGTATTTTTAGAAAAAGGGACGCCCCAAGGAACGCCCCCGTAATAAAAATATAGCGCGTGATATGCCAATATTACAGCATATCACGCTTCAGGATGTCGACACGCTTTCTTATCGGGTCGCCCTCTGCTTGAGATTTCCCCAAGTTGTGGGGAGCTTATCTTGTGGTGTAACCGCACGAACACCAACAAACTCGAGGTCGCCGAAACTACAAACACTGTTATCGTTTTCAAAGGACGACGCCCAAGAGATAGCACCCTCTCTCCCGAAACCTTTCACATCGTGATCGTCGATTGTGCTATCAAAACCCCAGATGGTTCCCTCAACCGGTGCAGGAAGGTTGGGTGTATTTGCCCCCTTGTACATGTTGTCGTAGGTCACTTTCCCTTCATAGATGTAACCGTCCGCGGTTTTCTTTGTCACCACGTTTTCTGTACACTCTTCATTAAGTGTGGTACCTCCATTGGGATTCGTACCGAGGCTAAGCCAGCATCCGGGTGTGGTGTCCTTAATGGTAAACACTTTATACCGAAAATACATATCTCCATCCGCAAAGAGGCAGTCGGGATCTCCAGCCAAAATCCGATCGTCATCCCCCTTGGAAATCTTCGGCGCGTCGTGTTCAAAGTCGAACTCACACCACATTTCGTCGTTGCCTGCATTGGGCCGCCGCCACCTTTGCAACTAATCGTCGTCAAGGTCTACGAAAACGACATCGTCGTAACAACCATGACGTAGTAAAGCCATCTTCGTCAAAGAGCAGCCAAATTCGGAGCTCCAGTCTCGTCACCATCGAAGCTGCCCCGGCTGATTCGGTTGGCGAGGTGTCAGGAAAATAAACCAGTCCGGTGTCGCTCAGGCTTCATGTGCATACTCTGGACACTGTGCCGTCGCCCCCGCCTGAAACTCCGCCCAACGCTCCTGCCACTGCGGATCGTTGGGGTCTCCGTCAATCGCCGGAGGATCTATCTGTGAAGAACGCGTTCGCAACCCCCCGCGAGTGTGCAAATGCAAGTGAAGCACTGAATATCATAAGCTACGCCATTGTAGGTAATAACATACTTAAACATTTTGATTTTCTCCTTTATTTAGATAAATTTGTAACGCAGGGTCAAGGGAACCCATGTGAAACTGCCCAATTATAGCATCGCAATTAATTATTCAATCTTTCAGAGTGTAGCCGCAAGAGACGTATCAATGTTCTTTTTCTTAAGCACTCAAAGATTCATCGGGACGCATATCTTCCAGAAGCAGGCATCACCTCCTTCTTGTTTGAGACCTCTCTCAGAAACGCGGAAAGCCTAGAGTCGCCTTTCCTATAGTTCTCCTTCTCGTTTCGGATACGCATAGGAGCGAGCAGATTGCATCTACCGGGTCGTCCTAGATTTCAACATGCCCATGTGCATCGCCAACTTACCGTGTGCCTCAACCGAAAAAGGATTGGTGTCAGGCTCCGCACACAACATCGTCTACCTTAAACCGGCTGTCTACAGACCCAAAACCGATTCGACCTCGTCCCTGAATATTAATATCTCACGTCAACGACGGCGGCACCATAATCCCTGACTGGGGCCACGCTCCATTATCGCTCAGGAAAGACGATAGCCTTTGGGATGGTTTTCGATTTTGACCCAGTATGGTTGATTTGTTTTAACCTTTGTTTTTGTCTCAGTCTGGCAAATGGTTGGAGAAACAGTCTTTATATCGCGCTGAAACAATGATGTTTTCGCTTGTCTATTCAACGCCCATATATGACATGCCGGCTTTCATTGCCTTGCAAGCGCTTGGGCAATTACCTGGGTTGCTAAACGCACCACTTGTTCACCCTTGGTAAAAATCGCCAGAAGACACCAAGTTCTTGCCCACCTGTCAGCGTGATGGTGAGAAGAACCAGTAGTCATTCCACTCGTCATCCCAATGGTCATCAGTGACACGATGAGTCCCAACTCAGCACCCTGTTTTACCAGTTCCCGCCCTTAATTGCCCATTTTCCGAGAGCGGTATGCCATTTCCCCGTACCATACTACCTTTTCCGGCCTCTAAAGTTATCCTCAAACAAACTTCCCCGCCTGAGCCGGACTCGGTACGATAAGAGCAACACTCGCCAAAACTGCTATAGCCACAACAGGAACTGTATGGGTGGATTGTTAGTTCTGTACACGGTTAACTCTCCTTTCAAATTTCGATTATGAGAAAAGCTGCCAATTACGATACAAAACTATTACTATTTTATTAAAAATTTAAGTTGTCTGTCACAAAAAAAATACTATTTTTCTAAAAAAATAAAAAAGGGAAAAGCAGACTGCGAGCTACCGCTCACTGTTTTTCTAAATTTTCGACCGCCTTTATCGCCTCCGGCGTGTCTATTTCCAATAACGCTTCGAGCGATGGTAGAGCGAAGCCCTTATGCTATCTCATGCTCCCACTAATACAGGCACGATACACTTGAGTGGAACTCGCCACACCAGCCAGCGCCGTTACGCTTCTTCACGAATATGCCAGTCTTTCGTTTGCAATGCGTCAATCAACATTGAGATCGCCTCTCAACGGTTCACCAATTCGACCTAATGCAATAGCAGCGGAGAGAGCAATCCCCTCATCTTCATCCTTCAGTGTCTGCGTCAATGCTGGCACAGCTTCTTGTGCTGTTGACCAATCTGTCCCAAGGCACTGATCGCGCTAGCGGCGCACACCTCATCCTCGTCTCGTCTTGCAATGCTTCTATCAACGCAGGGACAACGCTTGATGCTGGCTACTAGTCCCGACATCGTGCTGCGAGGCTAAGCGACGCGCACCCCTATGCGATGACTTGGCTGCACAGCTGTTATTAATGCGGGCACAGCCTCGTGGGCTGATGCGCCAAGCTGCCACCAACGCCATCGACAACCTTCAGAGACGCATCCATGGATCCTCATCTTTCAAGGCTTCTATTAGTGCGGGAGGGAAAGACATCTGTGGCCCATGGTTTGTACACAAAGCCTCCCCACTATTTCAGCGACCTAGAACGAACCGTCACATCTCATCTACAGTGCGTCTATCAACGCAGGAATGGCATCTACGGCAGGTTAACGATTGTGCCTAATGCCATTGCCGTATAGCGACGAAACATGTTGGTCTTCGTCCTTAATGCTTTTATAACAGCGCAGTAGGGTGTCTGAGGTCTTTGCATCATCTTAACCAATGTTCGGCAGCGCACGGCGGACAATGGGGTGTTGTCACTCATTTGTAACCATATATTTCCATACTGTGTCCGCTAGATTCAAACGGTATCACCATTAGCGTGAAAAAGAGCAAACAGACGACCAAAAATAATATCCTTGATTTCATTTTTTTTCGGTTTCCTCCTAATTATGTTGATTGTAACGCGAGTTGACACTTATAGGGAACGTCGCAAACCGAGATAATGGGAGTCAATCACCGCTCGCAGTGGATTGACAAATCCACTGCATAACCGTAGAGGCGGCTTGGATATGTCTATCCAAGCCGAGCAGCACTGATACGTAAGAACACAATGCGGTCACGACAAAATATGCAAAATGTCCCAATTTTCAATGCCTAGCATCTTAGGGCATGATATACCTTACGCTTTCCAGAACACGGGGACACCCAATTCACCTGCCAAATCCGCCAACCCCTGCAAATGATCCCGATGTAGCGGGAGGCCGTTCTTGCTCCACTGTGCGTGCTTCATCGCTTCCAGTTCACCGGGGAAATAGACCCGATCAAAACCCTCAGCAGGGGGACTCGACCGAAGTACACGAATCTCCCGATCAATCTCTTCGGTGAAACATCAAGCGGCACAAGCTATCAATGTGATTGCGTAGTAGACACACCCTGACCCCTGTTTGTCAAGCGGGACATCGCCTGTCTGATTGACAGTTGCAATCATACCCGCCAAGGGACCAGCCAGTGCATCCACCGCCAATGCAAGGGCATACCCTTTTGCGCCGCCCATCGGTAATAGGACATGCGCTTTGCTGGGATCGTCGGTCTCCTTACCTTCCTCATCCAATACCCAGCCGGAGGTCAATCTTTCTCCGTATAATCGCCTCGTACCAACTCTGCCCCATGCCGAAACGCCACACGCCATATCAAGGAGAATGGGAGGCTCTGTCTTCGCGGGAACAGCATAAGAAAACGGGTTGTTTCCGACAACTCGCGTCCTACCGCCAAACGGCGCAACCCCTGGACCACTGGTTGATGTACTGAACCCAATCATGCCATGTAAGGCGAGCATCGCGGTCGCACTCGGCACGCACCGAAGTGATTGGTGGCGTATGCCCCACGGCAACCGATACGCGACCTTCGCCTTCTCGATTGCTACTCCATTGAGAACTTACCAGCCACATGTCCCACGAACGATCAGCCGTTGACGCGTGCAAATGCTGGTCCTTCACGACAATCGTGAGATTCGGGGTGGGATTGATTCTTCAAAATGCCCGGACATAGCCAGCCAACGCACGAGTTCGTGGGAATGAATACCGTGTAGATCGTCTCAAACCTGCAAATGCGCAACAGCATCGCATCCGTTTTTGGCACCCCCGCCTTTTTGATACAATTGACTAGCAACGCCTCTTAAACTCATCGGCATTGACAACATATCTTGATCGGTCGGTTCAAATCTCATTTGACACCTCGCAAGATTGTGTGAAGTGTGATGCGTAATGCACCAACATTAGCACTTAGAGACAATGACAAGGCACAGCACAATTTTGCCTACACCATGGGTTATTCATCAATCTTCAAACTTCCACACCTTCAAGCTGCTTTGCTGAATACCACTCTTTATCTGATCCGTAAGAAAGTCCAGATGTGTTCTGAACATTTCCATGCGGGCAGATACCCACTTGAGTACGCCCCGGAAAATTTGTCCCCCACATCAACCGTTCCGGACCGAAGGCATCGTATAGACGGCGAAACGTAGGGAACGTATCTTCGTGCGGGTACGGCAGCTCCGATTTATGGGCTTGGGGAGTGAGTTTCACATAGACCCGTGGATAACGCGCTAGTTCAGCACGTTGCTGAGCAAGGATACGGTGGTCTTCGTCCGTCGGTGCACGCGCGATAAAGTGATCTAGTAATCAAGAAAAAGACGGACACTTTGGAAAACGGGCGATGATGAGCAGCTCGATCAGCGGAGCAAATGGGTTTGCTGGACCGTACATCAATGACAGCAGACACATAAATCTAATCTAATCTCAGCACGTCCCCATAAATGCGGGAGTCCTGGTCGTAGTGCCGGAGCCCATTCTGCGGGGTACGTCCAACCCGTCCTAGATGTATCCGCAGCAACACCCCATCAATCCTCCCGGACCAAACGTTCCAAGTGGTCTGAGGCGCATACAGCGCGCGAGACGATTGCCACCAACACACGATTGCCCAGCAATATTACCCGCGGAAAGCGAATCGAAGGCATTCCGCCGTATATCTGTTGTCCATCACGATATCGATTGAAAGCTAGACGATAACGCTTTATCTACTCCTGCTTCATCAAGCCATCGTCCCGTTCAGCAGCTCAAACCGTGTGCACCTTCAGCCGCCTGTGTCCCCGTCAGCAAATGGATCAACGCGAGAAGTCATCACTCCCAAACGTGCAAATGTGTGTCATAAATCATGTGTTTCTCCCTTAACAGAGAATTAGACACCTTCGGACGGTTGATACAGGTTAGTCCTATCAGCGAGCAGTGCCGCGCAGATGTTTGCCGCCAGCCTGAGACATTCGTCTGTATCGTATTTATTGCGGTCGCCGCCTTCAAATACGATGGACTGATGCGTTAAATGTCACCGCCTCAGACATTTTAGAATTCGTCCTAGTATTTTTAAAAATCAAGCCACTCTTCCTGACCGCTGTCGATTTTGTAACTCTTGGCACGGACATAGGTGCGTATGAGCGGTCGGCTCTAGTAGTCTTTGTAGAGGTCTACATCGGATCAATTCACCGCGAGGGTGCGATCCAATGGATTCAACCATGACCGTATCCAAATAAAGGTAAGTTTTCACGGTCCGTTTCCCGCAGGATGCGCAACACCTGATTCGCCGTCATCGCAAAACTGCCGTGTTTGGTCTGCAGCACTAAGACAACACCTCTCTCCGCCGCATAGTCAGCAGAGTTCTTGGTAGCGAGCAATCATCGGACCACACAAGGCTCTTGTTCCTCAACGGTATCTGGCCCACTTGTACCTTGCAAACACCCGAATCAGTTGTGCCGATGGAAGGCTGTGCCAAGTCAAGTCCGCTTACCCCGCGCAATTGCATCCGCATCTCTTCCTCTGGTCCCACAAAACTACCGGCTCCCAGATAGCCGATGGGCAAGCCGTGCTTCATACACAAACTCTTAATCCGGCGCAGAAAATCGGGATCTCTAGGCAATCCCGATAGATGGAAATCGATGACATCCAACCCAATTCGTGAGCAAATTGGACGTGCTTGAGAAACACTGCTTCATCCGTGGCGCGCGCCATCACTCCGAGCTTAATCATTGTGGCAGTTCCTTTCTTTTGATATCTGCTAACCTCTCGCCAGTAAACCGAGAGTTCGAGACCTCGTTATCCACCGGCTGACTGTATTTCTAACCTATCACTTACCACCCTTTCCAACTGCCATCGGCATGTCGGTATTGTCGATAGGGCAATGGCTCATACGGCAAGTTGTCCAGATCCGATTCCTTCACCAAAATCCCCAATCCCGGTGCATCTGAGAGGTTGACGTGCCCATCCTTTATCGTCCAATCGTGTTCAACACAGCGATCGAATAGCGAGAGTCGGCTGCTGCTTTCCTGAATGAGAAAGTTGTTCATGACCGCATCGGCGTGGAGTGTCGCAGCATAACAGAGAGGACCGCCGGCATTGTGCGGTGCCATAAGCATTTGTTCCGCCTCCGCTAATTTGGCAATATCGACCAACGTGGTAATCCCAAAGCAGTGCGTTACATCCGGCTGCAGGACAGCACACGCCCGATTGTCGATTAACGGCTTAAAATCGCCAATGGTAAACAGTTTTTCGCCGGTCGCAATCGGCACCGGGCTTTTTCGGGTAACCTCCATCAACGCTTCAAGCGAACCCACCTTGACCGGTTCCTCCAAAAACAGCGGTTTGAATGGGGCAACACGCCGAGCGAATTCGATACTCAACTCCGGTGTTGGGCTACCGTGTGCATCTAGCAGAATGTCAAAATCCGATCCCACCGCCTCACGAGCCGCGGCTACACACGCTGTTGAGTGGTCAACGGCTTCTTCATCCATCTGCCATGTGCGGCTTTCCAGCGGGTTGCTCTTGACCCCGGCGTATCCCTGTGCCTTGACCTCTCGCGCTGCGTCCGTCGCTTCCTCTGGCGTAGAGAACAGATTCCCGCCGCAGTAGACACGAATCCGGTCACGTCGTCTGCCACCGAGAATGGTGTGAACCGGTACACCCCACGCTTTACCCGCAATGTCGTACAGGGCAGCGTTAATCGCCGCGATGGCTGTGCCAAATACGGGACCACCCTTCCACGGTAGGCGGTTCGTAATGTCCTCAGTCAGTGCCACGACTAATAGCGGGTCCTGATCGATTAGGAGACTTGACCATTCGTGCAGGGTCGCCTCGACCGACGGTGTCAACCATTCGCCGCTGCCTTCGCCCCAACCGTCGATGCCCAGCATCTGTCTCAATCTTCAGGAATAGCCACGGTTTGGAAAGGCTGCCCAACAGTTCACCGGTATGTGGTCACGACTGGTTGCCCATGGAACGTTAAATTGTAGGTTTGATGCCGCTAATTTTCATACATGTTTATCCCTATCCAACGAGAAAAGATGATGATTCCAACCGTTACACCCAACGCGAAGGGCTCAAAGAAATCTCTTAACCATCTGCATACGCTATTTGCGCATTTTAGCAAGAAAGTCGAAGTGATGGTCAAGGTCAAGTCGAAAATCTATAGGAAAGTCCCATATCTCACAAGTTTAGATTCAAAAATAGGTCGAGATAGGGTATAATATACGTATCTAACAAACATAGGAGGCAGATATGAGGATTTGTCTTACGCGCGGTGGATGAGCGGGACACGATTACCTGCATTCTTAAAAACAGTATGGTGTCGATGACGTGGTGCACAGTTCCACTTCCCACCCCGATGCCGCACGAACGATTCTCCATCGAGAAAAACGCCGATAAGCTGGCGCACATTGGGACTTTTCTCGACCTTGTACTGGTCCGCAAGCGTTGTGAGGACTGCTGGATTAGGGTCATTGGAATCGAGAATCCGCTTCCGTCGTGCTGCTACGACCGAGTGATGCTAGGGCTGCCGGACGCGATCAGCAGATTGAGAATGTGATTACCACCATCCGCAATATGGGCAAGCGGGTATTATCCGGTCTACGGCTACCACTGGATGGTCAACCAACAGGGCGTGACGCGGGAACTCTTGGCGCACCTCGCTGACGACTCCTGGCGCGGTGGCTCACACAGTCAGCAGTTTTGATATGGAAATAGCGAAGCACTCGCCCCTATTCCGTGACCGGGAGTACACCGATGATGAGATGTGGGGACATACGATATATTTCATCAGTGCATCCTCCCGGAGGCGGAGGCAGCGGGTGTGCGACTGGCACTTCATCCCGACGATCCGCCGCTGGAAAATTGGGTGGCATCCCACGACTGTTTCACGATTTCGATGGATTCCATCGCGCAATGGACATTGCCAATAACAGTCGGGCGAGTGGTCTCAACTTCTGTCTTGGAAACTGGACAGCGATGGGAACTGACATCCTCGCGGCAATCCGCCATTTTGGAGAACGCGGGCAAATCGTCTACGGGCACGCTCAAGGCGTTCAAGGAACAGTACCAAAATTCCAAGAATGCTTCTTAGATGAAGCCGATTGCGACTTTTTCGCTGTACTGCAAGCCTTCAAAGAGGTCGGATTTGACAGTGTCTTGCTTCCCGGTCACTGTCCGCACACACTTTACGAAAACGAGATTGGTGGACAGGGTTTTGTCTACTCAGTTGGATATCTGAAGGGACTGCTGAATGCAGTTGGGTTTTAGGAGGACAGATGCAATACCGACGATTTGGTAAAACAGATTGGCAGGTCAGTGAAGTTGGCTTGGGCGGTTCTTGGTTTTATGGACGCCCGGAGTTCGGGCTAAAGCCGTTTTCCTACGGTGCCCGCATTGTCGAGCGAGCCTTAGAACTTGGGATTAACTACTTTGATACAGCACCCCTCTACGGTCAGGGTCGTAGCGAAGAGGTGTTGGGCGCTGCCCTCAAAGGTGTGACCGAGCCGTACTACCTAGCGACCAAAGTAGGCTACTACCCAGAGCCGTTTGACTACACGCGAGACACAGTTTGGCGTGGATTTGAGGCAAGTCTAAAACGTCTACAACGGGACAAGGTTGATCTGCTGCAAATCCACGAAGCGGAGCAGGCAGGGTGGGAAGGTATCTTCGGGGCAGGTAGGACGCTGGAAACCCTCTTGGAAATCCAAGAACAAGGATTGACCAAGTACATCGGCTTGACCGGTTCGGATCTGGGGTTGATGCGAGATATTCTGAAAGAGTCGGATGTCTTTGTTTCGGCGATCACTTTCTGCAAGTATGACCTACTCACACAGGAAGCCCAGGAAATCCTTGTCCCCACCGCAGCGGAGCGCGATGTCGCCGTAATCACCGCTTCACCGCTCCATGCCGGACTTTTGGGATCAAAGCGGGAATTGTGGATGGAAAATGGCCGCTTCGCTGACCTCTATGATAAGCTGGATCAGGTCGAAGCCCTGTTGGCAGATCTACCCGAAGACATCACTCATACTGCCCTGCGCTATCTCCTATCGGATCCGCGAGTGTCTATCCTGCTATCGGGGGTGGCGTCCATCGAGGAACTGGAAACGTCGGTTTCGGTGGCTGACGGACATTATCTACCGCCGGAACTCATCGCACAAATTGAAGCGATTGAATGAGTATCCGGTTAAATTCAAGCGTATCAAGCGTTGAATAGTTCACTCATGATTAACATTATTTTAACACTTTGTTAACAATTATATGTTATGATAGCTTAGAGGGATCACCGACGTTATCCATTAAGGTTAAAAACCCACACATAGAGTTCAAAGGTGGCGCACATTGTATTGAAAAGCTTTCGCGCCAAAAATTGAAGGGGGTACATGGATGAAGATAAAATTTATAGGCATTTTCCTATTAGCCCTACTGTTGATCCTGGGGTTGCTTCAGATTGAAGCAATCGGCAACTTAAATCCAATCTTCCATTCTATTGCCGTATCGGTCCGTCGAATGGTGGATTGGGTATTGGCTGCATATTCGCCAAACACCATTATTTTGAGAGGCGAACCGGAGTTACTCAACGTTGATACAGTTCCAGATTACTTCCCAAACTATGTAAAAAAATCGACCCCGTCACAACAGAATAAAGAAGGTGCACAATCGGAGAAGCAGGCGAATGTGAAAGGTTCGATGTGGGATTTTTCAAGAGAAGATTTCGGCAATATGCCACAAACTTCACTGACAGAGGAATCGGCATCTAGAAGACTGCAACTTTTGCAGGAAATCACCGAGCCGGAAGACCCTGTGACCGATCTTTTTCCCGAAACCGAATGGTATGATGCGGTTGATTTGGATGCCTACGATTTCACAGAACTCCTAACAACGGAAGAGCCAGACGAGAAAATTCAGCCGGACGAGGCGTTAGATTCAGATGTTGTTCAACCCCTGCTAGATGAGATAAACTCGCAGATCGATCAGAAATTAGAGTCAGATAATCTGAGGTGACACGGTAAGCGTGCAAACAATTTGGGTAATTATTCAGGCATACCAAGCCACGCAAACTTTGTCCTCAGATGGGGCTTGACTTTTTCTTGCGGATCGGTTATCTTGTTTAAGCAGGGAGGAGACATCTTGACCATTTTTTTCACCAATTCAGAAAAACAGTGGCAGTTTTGCAAATGGAGTCCTCTTTATAGCCTAAAGAGGACTTTCTATTTCTATTTAGGTTTCGGCTTGCTATTGCTGTGGATTGTTGGTTGTAATTTCCCCGGCGGCCAAAACCGTGACATCCCACAGATTCAACTCACCATACAGAACACCCTACCAGTTAAACGCGTCAATGTGCCGATTGTACTGTCGCTCGCTGAATTGAGACAGATTGCAGCCGACTTTTCATTTGATGCCTATCTAGTCGTTTCGGGACACCCGCCGGCTGAAATCGAAATTCCAAGCCAAGCCGATGACACAAACTATAATGGCCAAAAAGACGAACTGGTCTTTCTTATAGACCTCGAACCGCAGGAGACAAAGGGAGTCACAATCCGCTATGCCCCCGATAACCAGGTGTCGGTCACGCTTGGGTTCACCCAGCGGACGCGGGCGGGTGTATTTCCGGAGTTAAAGGGGTTCGCCGCATTGGAGTCAGAATGGGTTGCCTACCTTCTTCATCCTAACGGTTCAATCAACACCTACGGAAAGAAAACGAAAGGGTTATTCCTTGATCAATTCGTTCGCCAGCTTACAGCACCCTCAGATTCTGAGGAAGAAATTCTGACCCCCCCTTTTCACAACAGAAGCGACGAATAACAGCAGTGGATTCGGGCTTTGGGATACGGGAACGCAGGGACTGATCTCTTCTGAAAATCAAAGCGATTATGTGCGCATTCTGGCTGACGGCCCTTAAGATCTATTGTACAACGAGTTACTCCCAATTGGGTCTTGCCGTCAAATCGAGAAATTTCTTTCACGTCAACGTTTTCAATCTATGCGGGAAATCAGTGGGGAGAGCATCGTATACAGGCTCAAGGATTAGGATACGGACACCGTATTGCCATTCGCCTCCCAAATCGCGGCGGCACCGCGTTCAGAAATCAGGAAGATGGCTGGGTATGGAGTTGGGAAAGGGAAGCTAACCGTGAAATGGGGTTTGGGGTTGTTTTTCCGGCGGATGGGTTCGATACATTTCAAGGTTCAGGGGCGGGAGATACTATATTAATGCAGCTTGATCAGTACGATGAAGTTTTCTACCGATTTGCCTCTGCTTTGGGGGGAAAAGAAGCCGAAATAGCGACACAGGAAGCGGAAGAAGTTACAATAGCGACGCAAGAGACGTTTGAGCAATACGTTCAGGCAATGGCGACGGAAATCCGAACACCACCAGTAATCCGGTTTACAATACAAGAGTCACAAGAACCGGAAGAACCACCAGAATAAAACTGAAAGGAGTTAAATCATGTTCAATAAGGAGGAATGCCTGAAAATCATCGCGAAGCATCGCGCAGACGAGGTCGTGGTTGCAACAATGGGGGTCACTGTGCCGTGGGGGCAGATTTCAGACCATCCACTTGATTACGCGTCTGTCGGCAGTGCGATGGGACACGCAGCAGACTTCGGGTTAGGGATAGCGCTAGCAAGACCGGACAAAAAAGTGCTTGTCCTCAACGGGGATGGCAGCATGCTGATGTGTTTGGGAACGCTAGCAACCGTAACCGCCTTGAACAAACCGGCACACAACTTCTATCTCTTTGTGTGCGAAAACGGTTCGTATGAAGTAACGGGAAATCAACCCACCCCAGGGGGACAGAATTTCAGTTTTACAACCATTGCACGCGGCGCAGGATTTGAGAAGTTCTATGAATTCGACGACCCGAATTCGCTAGATGCCTCGCTGCCCTCAATTTTGGCGGAGGCGGGACCCACCCTCATCAATCTCAAGATTGCCCTTGCCAATGAACCGCCACCAACTCGAAGTGCGGAACACGCTGTGCGTTTCTTGCGTGGAACGCTCGCAGAATCAACCCATGAGTTGCGAGAGGCATTAAACGCGTAATACGGCAGATGAAGAATTAATGCCGCTGGTAGGCAATGGCGATTGGCGCAAGGGTATCTAGTAGTTCAATTCATCGGCGTTCTCCCGGAGCTTGTGAAACGCCTCCAAGATACACTCCATATCGTCCACACCACCTAAAAACAGCGCATGGGAGAAACTGCAAACTTCTTCTGCATAAACCCTTTCCGCATTGGGACAATACACCTTGCTGTAATCAATTTCCCCTTCATAAAGCGAGCCCTTTCGGGCGCATCCAAGCTGGTCAAAGAGGTCTATGTCAGCGAAGGGACCTTCCCGGTAGATGGGCTGACCATGAGCACCCACGCCACACGGTACACCTTCCGCTTGCAGTCCCTCCAAAAATCGGCCCCTTGGAACGCCATCGAACTCGTCCGGGATGTATCGAAAATCCCAATAGTAGAAGCACCATCGCGTGACACGGTCATCTCGCGGAATCGGGTCAATCCCCTTGATTGCTTTCAGCCCCGCAACGAGGTGGGCGGTGTTTCGCTCCCGTGTCTCGACCTGTGCATCGAACCGCTCTAGCTGGCATAGCAGCAGCGCGGCTTGAAGATTTGTCATGCGCATGTTGAGATTCGCGAAGCGAGCGGCGTTTTCCGCAAGGGCTTCGTCGTTTGTGAGAACCATACCGCCCTCCCCACAGGTGAGCGTCTTCCCAATTTGAAAGCTAAACGTACTCAAATGACCGATGGAGCCAACCCCCTTACCTCGCCACTGTGAACCGTGCGCGTGTGCACAATCCTCAATGACCCAAAGGTCATGTTTGTCGGCAATCTCCATGATCGCATCCATATCAGCCGGATACCCGCCGTTGTGGACGGGAATGATGGCTCGCGTCTTGGGCGTTATGGCGGCTTCAATCACTTCGGGGCTGATATTATAAGTGAGTGGGTCAATATCAACCATGATCGGCACTGCGTTGACCAGCACCACCGACGTAGCTGTTGCGACAAAAGTCAACGCCGGAACGATAACCTCATCCCCCGCGTTCACGCCCGCCGCTTTTAAGGCGCATTGTAGTGCGACCGTGCCGTTTGCCAAAGGAATGCCGTACTTGGCGTCTTGGTAAGCTGCGAACGCTTCGCCCACCTCGTCAACCTTATCACGGCGATTCCATTCCCCGCTGTGCAAGACCTCCAGAAGTGCATTTTCTTCCTTCTTATCAAAGATTGGCCACCGCTTCCCCAGCGCGCGTTTAACGACCGGTTCTCCTCCGTTCAATGCCAGTTTTCCCATAGTAAGCCACCTCCGATTCTACGTTTGTTGTTATTTTCTTTTTATCTCTCCATCTAAGTTTCTTTCCAGCCGATTCCCTTCCAGTTTCACCCGCTTTGCTTTCGCCCCAATCACGACACCGAAGCGTTGCGTTGAATCGCCAACCTCCGATTGATTGCCGATCTCATTGCCAACAATCACTGTGTCGTTGGTCTCACCATCAATGTAGATGCCGCTGCCCTTTCCGTTCGTGCCGTTGTTGTAGATTTTGTTCCCCTCCAGCCGATTCCGATGTCCACCCGTGTACTCCGGCTCGTTCCGAAAATAGACGCCGTGATTCGCATTGCCAATCACTGTATTCCCCCGCAAGAGATTATCAGAATCCTTATGACCGATCGAAATGCCATATCGACCGTTGCCCCGAAGCTCATTTCCTTCAAAGGTCCCATGACGCACCCGCCAGCAGAGGAATAGGCCATCGTCTCTATTTTCGTAAGCTGCGTTGTTCCGTATCGTCGGGCGCTGTGAGCCGCTGCCGGGATGAAATCCCAAGCCCGTGTTATGATGCGAGACGCAGTTTTCGATCGAGATGTTGCTGCTTTGTTGAAAACTGAACCCGTCGCCGTTATAGTCGTGAACGGTGCAATTGTGGATTTGTGAATTGTTGACGCGATAGAAGAAAATGCCTGCGCCCCGACAGCCGTTCAGGTCCGCGTTGTCCGCCCGGTTTCCGTCAACCGTTACACCTTCGATGCGTATGTTTTCCGCGTAATAGCCGCTGAGGAGCGGGAACGTGTTTTTGGCAATCGCGTTATTGTGCACCATGCAATCGGCTTGAAGCGGACTGTTGATGATAAAGGTGTTCTCATCCACGCGAGCGATAATCGTTCCGACTGTGGTATGAAAGCCGCCGGAGCGATCATCTTGCACGGTTACGCCCATCCCGACTTTAAACCCTGACCCATCTACAACCGTGATCTGTTCTTCGCCGTAATCGCCATCCGTAACCAACGGGGAGATATGTCCGCTCCCTTTGCGCAAAACTGTGTCTTTCCCTGCGCCAATCACCGTGACATTACTGCGCAGGTGCAATGAATCTCCCATCTCGTAAACCCCGGCGCCGATACATACAGTCCCGCCTCCCAATCCTGAAACATAGTCTACTGCCGCCTGCAAAGCGTAATTGTCTAAGCCGACAATCGCTGCGTTTTCTACGCCAACGGTAATTGTTACACGCTTTTTCCATAATTCCCCTCAGGAAGGTGTACTATCACTAGGCCACGAAAAAGAAAAGATGGTGTCACGGTGGCTGCCTAAACATCTAGCGATGGTACAGGGTTATGTGATTAAAAATTCACTGACACAAATGCACTTTGATTGCGCCAGAGCGTTTGTCGGCGGACACCCTGAACGCTTCAACAACGTCCTCCAGCGGATAGCGGTGGGTCACCAGCTTAGTCGCATCAACCTTACCGGAGGAGATGAGTTCAATCGCTGCATCGAAATCGGTGTCCATGCCGGTGAAGCCGTAACAGTTGGAGCCGGTGACAATTGCCTCCGACCAAACGATACGGCTCAGATCTACTTCCAGTGGCTCAAAATATCCCGCCACGAGCACAACTGTCCCGTGTCGTCGGACGATGCCCATTGCAGCATCAAAGTTTTGTCCGCCCCCAACGGTTTCAATCACAGCGTCCATTCCTAAACCGCTCGTCAAATCATTGACATATTCCTTGAGATCCGTTTCGCCAATGTGAACCACATGGTCAGCACCCAACTCTCTTGCCAGTTGGGCTTGCTGATCATACTTGACGGTGATTAAAGTTTCCTTGACGCCTGCTGCTACCGCCGCTGCTAGGGCGAACTGTCCGATGGTTCCGCCGCCGATGATTGCAACTCGGTCCTGATAGGTCGCGTTGGCTTGACCCACAGCGCGGTAGGAGACCGCAAGTGGCTCCACCAAAGCCCCTTCCTCAAAACTCATGCTTTCTGGTAGCTTAAAGAGTCCTGAAATGTGGGCATTGGTGTATTCCGCGAAGCCGCCGTGGGCATTGTGTGAAACCCATTTGCGTACCATACAGTGATTGTAATAGCCCTTTCGGCAGTAAAGGCAGCGTCCACAGTGTGAGAAAAATTCGATGACAACTTTATCGCCCAGTTGAAGTCCCGTGACGCCTTCACCCAGTTCGATGACAGTGCCACAGGTTTCGTGCCCGGCAGCGTGGGTATGTGATTGATCCCAGTGCCCAAAATAGCTGTGAAGGTCGCTGCCACAGATTCCGGTCTGTTTGGTGTCGATCCCGACGTATCCCGGCGCGGGGGGCGCGTATTCCACCTCTTGAATGCTAATCTGTTCAATGCCTGTGTAAATCGCGGCTTTCATTATATTCATGGAATTTCTCCTTCAACGCATAGGGATTACTGTGAAGTCCCTCGTTTGCGGAATAACTCACCCCTAACGTTCAAAGTTCCGAGCCTTTGCCCTCTTTCTTTTTGCTTCTTTCTGTTTTCGATTCCTTTTTTCAGAAGGCTTTTCATAGAAACGTCTGTTTCTAAGATCTGCGATAGAGCCGTCCGTCTGGAGTTTCCGTTTCAAATCTCTCAGTGCTTTTTCCACATTATTATTGTGAACTTTTATTTCCATGCTTACTTCTCCTTATGTTGTCTAACTGACAAGTTGTTACTGCTAACAGAATTCCATTACATTAACGCTTTATATCATACTGCCGCATTTTGCGATGTAAATTTGTGCGTTCAATGCCAAGTTGTCTAGCAGTTTCGGTGATATTCCAACCATTTGTTCCAAGGCAGTTTCGGATAAAATGATGCTCAAATTCGTTTTTTGCCGCTCTGAGTGGTGTCTCTGTGCTGATCTGAGACGGATCGCCGCGACGATTGAGTTCCATAGGTAAGTCGTCAGCCTCAATAGTTTCGCGAGGACACAAGATGACAAGTCGTTCTACCATATTGCGAAGTTCTCGGACATTGCCGGGCCAATTGTATCCGCTCAGAACCGCCAGCGCGTTTTCGTGTACCGTCATATTCGGTTTCTGGTTCTCTCGGCAGAATCGAGACAAAAAATAATCAATAAGTAAAGGAAGATCCGTCACCCGTTCTCGCAAAGGCAGGATGTGGAGGGGAACAACATTTAATCGGTAGTAGAGATCTTCACGGAAATTGTCGCCCTGGATCTCTTCTTGTAAGTCTTTGTTCGTCGCAGAGATGACACGGACATCAACGTGAACGGTTTGCCCACCGCCGACCCGTTCAAATTCCTGTTCCTCAAGGACACGAAGTACCTTCGCTTGGGTTGATGGGCTCATATCGGCAATTTCGTCGAGAAAGATTGTGCCATCATCAGCCTGCTCAAATTTCCCGATACGCCGACTTGATGCGCCGGTGAATGCCCCACGCTCATGCCCGAAAAGCTCAGATTCAATAAGATCTTTGGGAATCGCGGCACAATTCACTTTGACAAAAGCAGCTTTATCGCGTAGGCTGAGGTTGTGAACGGCGTAGGCAACCAATTCTTTCCCAGTCCCACTTTCGCCGGTGATAAGGACACGCCCATTTGTCGGGGCAATCTGCCGAATTTTTGCTAAGATTTCTTGCATCGGTCGGCTAGTACCAATAATTGGACGTTCAAAATCGCCTCTTTCCTCTGCTATTTGTGTATGTCGGAGTTCAATTTTCTGGACAACTTCTTTCACTTTATCCAGTATAATATCCAGCGAAAGAGGCTTGCCCAAAAAGTCGAGTGCCCCCATGCTCCCAGCCTCTAACGCGAGTTCAAATGTGCCGTGACCGGTGATCATGATGACTTCTGTATCGGGGGATATTTGCTTAATTCGTCGTAGTGTCTCAAGTCCGTCACAGCCGCCGGGCATTAAAATATCCAGAAACACTAAGTCGATCTGCTCACTTGCAATACAACGAATCCCCGCCTCACCACTATAAGCGGTTACAACGTTGTATCCCTCATCCTCTAAAATATCTTGTAGCGATTCGCAGATACTAGTTTCATCGTCAACGATTAATATGTTTGGCTTGAACTTCTGTTTCATAACATTGACCCAAGATTTCCGTTTTCTTTGGATAAACAACTCCCGATACTGGTATTCTGCAAGAAATAACGGAAATAACACAAATTTACGGGAATTAGGACCTCCTCCATTGATTTACTTAGAAACCGAATTGTGATTGAATCCGTTGGTCTAGTAATGAGGTATGCTCTCGCTTCATTGGTCAAAATACGGAGATCCTCCTACATGTGTGCCTCTCACTCCTGAATATCGTGGCGGTCAGCAACTTTCGATTCTTCCGCAGGAGAATGTTGAAGTGCATGCCACTGTTGCGACGAGAAAATTAGTTTGTTGTAGAGGTATGTTTGACTTCCTGTCTGGATTTGTATCGAGTCAAAAAAATTTATCGTTTTTTACGTCACACTGTCCCTGTGATTGGTTAAACCTTTGAAAGTTTGGCACGTCTTATGCTATCATAGCACAATTGGACGCGCAGATCCAACAGATTGCAGGAAATATCCCCCACCGTTCAGTCAGAGTGAAGATGAGGGGACATCACCTCACCTTTATCACCAACCAACCTCTTTTGTGCGCAATTAGCCGTATAATAGAGGCACCCCGGTGACGTTTTCAAACTATTTCGGATATAGCATAGCCAAAAATGGCGAACCTGTCAACGAAATGGTGAAACGTTGATGTACTATCCATGTTATCTTTTTATCTATGACGAGAATACACACGCATTTATTCATTTGCAGTTTAATCAGTTTCCTATTACCCGTGTCTGTGTCATTCGCAGCTAGAACTTATGATGTGAGTATTTCTGGTCGAACGAAGCAGCAGTACGCAAAGCATATGCCTAGCAAAGTTAAGCAGGCGATTAGGTCCGAATACGCGAAGCAGATCAAAGTGTACAGAACCAGAAGGCCAATACGGCGTCATCTATGATCGGGATGGCAATATGAGACGATCGTCGGTGGCGGAAATCACGCGAAGTTGCTCATCAAGCGGAGTGATCGAACAGCGAAAGTATGAGCTGCCTACCCAATTCCGGATCAGCACTTACCCGTCTTGCCAAGAAGCCGTCAAAACCAAAAACCTAACCGTCTACACCAGTAAGAACGCCAGCACAAAGACCAAACCGCAATCTGATACACTTTGGACTCCAACCTTGAGCGAACATTGATCGAACATCAAGAGACTGCGGTTTCAGGGGTGTACTGGCAAGCACAGACGAACTAGCTTTGTTGTCTATGATGTAACTAAGCAGAAAAAAGTGGTTAACATCAATGAGATCAACAATGATGGCTGCTTCGCTAATCAAGAACTTTATCATGCTGCTTACTTTCATGAGGTGAAACACAAACGACGTGAGCATACCGCTGAGAATCGCCGCCAGCTCCGTCAGATGATTCAAAGAAGCGCGCTAACACATCGACCAACTATTTCATAAGAGTGCTGGTGGTCCGCGGGTGGATCGATCTTAATGAACTATCCTACTTCAAGCAACTCGCATTGTTGAATTATTCCCAGTGGCGGCAGAACTTCAGAAACACAACCTCAGCACACGAATGAATAGTTACAAACCAGTTGTGGCTTGGGAACCTGCGTATTAAATAAATGAAATATTATCTAGGACTCTCAGAACGGCGATGCGATAACGATTAAAACGTGTATTCCGTCAACGTCCGTGTGACACAAGACCGGACCGTCTAGGGTTGGTCGGTGACAGCGCATCTTGGCAGATCATTGATTCGCAGGGAAACAGCGGGCTATACATCTTACCGGCATACGAGGACGGACCAAACCAGCAATCGCAACCCGCTCCGAAGCTTGGTCATGGGTGGGACGCCGAATCCGATACATACGGCGCGTATCAGAAGCGGTTTATGAGTATATCTACGAAGTCCATTACGGCGGACAGTTTGATTGTAGCCGTCACGCAGGGCAGCACTTGAAGCGTTGATCGGATACATTGCCGCTTTGGATTGGCAGTATCAGCTTCCACGACGATATGATGACGTGGGCTGGCTATAATATTTTGCTTAACTCCTATGCCACGCGCCGGGGCAATATTCCTACCTTTACGACCGCCTAAAGACCTCCAAACCTGCGCGGGCTGCCTGTAAAAGCAGGTAGTAATCGGGACCATAGCCCAAAACAGTGAAACCTTGTGCTTGTCGTCTCTGCAATCCCTCTGGTGTGCTCTCCCCGAATCCAATGGCAACACCAACCTCGCGACCCACCTCTAGGGCGCGTTCGATGACGGCATCAGTCTCTGGAAATGGCATGTGCAGCGGGTTCAATCCCATTGACAAACACAGATCCCACATGCCGATATATAACACATCAACCCCCGGTACAGCCCCAATTGCCTCCAAGTTTTCCACAGCCTCTTTGGTCTCGATGAGCAAGAAGACAAGCATATTGTCATTCGCTCGGTTGAAATAATCCTCATTGTCAACCGTGTATTGCGAGGCACGTAGTGGTCCCCAGCCGCGTGTACCTTGCGGCGGGTAGCGCGTGGCATCAACGATAGCCTGCGCCTCATCGGCTGTCCTTACCATCGGCACAAGAATTCCCATGCCACCTATGTCCAACGCCCTTTGGATGAAGACCGGATTGGCAGAAGGGATACGGACAATAGGGATAGTCTCGGTCCCGTTCATCGCCATGAGCATGTGTTCAATCTGCGCAGTATCGAGTGCGTTGTGTTCCGTTTCAATAACCAACCAATCATACCCAGCATGTGCCAAGAGCTCGGCAAGGTTGGGACTGCCTAGCCCCATGAAGCAACCGATGGTAGGTTGACCGGAGCGGATTTTTTCTCGGACCCAGTTAGTTCTCATCTTGATAGCTCTCCCCATTTTTTATTAAGACTGTCGAGGTCATAGCCGAGTTTGAGCGGAACCTGCACAGTTTTTTAGATATGCGGGTAGTTCAACGGCATTCCTGTCTTTCCCAAGTCGTAGTATGTGATGTGCCAGCGCCCCAAGTTCGCGCTGAGAAAGAGATCGAGGTTCTTACCACAAAAGGCGATATTCGTCGGGGCAGCAATCGCTGTGCCCTCGTAATCTTCTGCTAGCACGTCGAGCTGTCCGCTCGGTGTCAGCCGGTAGATCCGATCGGGACGGTAGCAGGAGATGTACAGATTTCCTTCGGTGTCAAACGCTAATCCATCTGGTACGGTCTCCGGTAAGTGTACCAACGTTTCAACCTCCCCGGCACCCCCATCTGCTTTGATTTCAACGCGGTCAACGCGCGGTGGATTGAGACTCATGGCAACATAGAGGTATGCACCCGCGGCGTCCATTGCTAAACCGTTAGGAAACTGAGCCAGACTACGACACCAAACCTCGCCCTTCCCGCCCGGGGCAACCCGAAAGATGCAACCGTTATCCTCTTTCCACCCACCGGAGTGAGAGGCATACAGATTGCCGTGACGATCGAAGACAGGGTAATTTGCTCCTTCGAGCGACTGCTCATCAGTACCATCGCAGTAGACGCTCACCGTCCCATCTGGTTCAACCCGTTTCACACCTCCACTACAAACATAAAGGCGGTGCTTCGCGTCCTGAGCGATACCTCCCACGAATCCGCCGGTATTGGCAAACTCTTCAAACTCCCGCTGCTCCACGTTGATACGGTACACCTGACCCAGTTCGCCGCCGGCATACGCAAAGCCATCGCAGCCCCAACTGATACATTCAGGGTGGTCCAATCCACCCGTAAAACCACCAATCAGAACAGAGACCTGTGTTCCTGTATCAAGAAGTGCCATAGTTTACTACCTCCATTGATGAGTCCATAAAGATATTTTAACCTAAGTTCCGTTGACATTTGACAGATTGAACTCATTTCCGCTCCGAGAGCATTTTGGGCAGGCACAAGACCTGCTCCTACATTTATGACAACCCTTGTGGTTGCCCTGCTATCTTTCGCTCCAGCGAAGCGATATGTCTATAGAAGGGTGACATGTTCAATCCCTGCGCTCCAGAGGAGCGCAATGTGTATGGTAGAAGGAAATCTCAATTTTTTAGCCCCAGCGGGGCGGCATGTGTATAGCAATAGCCAATCCCAACGCCCCAAAGCCCCAGCGGGACGACATGTATGCAGTTAAATTGTCGAGTATGGAAACTCGACAATTATAGGATATAATAGTAAGCGGAATCCATCTGACATTATATCGGCTCGCGCAGAAATGTCAACGAAAAACAGTTAGCAGTAGAAATTTAGAAAGGCAGGAAAGACTCCATCTCAACTGTATATTTCTACCGGATATACGCTTGACTTTACGCAAAACAGATGGCAAAATAGATAGTACGTACTAAATCTATCCGTAATTCAATGAGAGATTAGAAAGGGAAACAGATATGGAACGGAAGAAAATACTCATCACCGGCGCAGCGGGCAAAATTGGACGGGTGCTGCGAGATGGACTGAAAGCGATTACGATTTGCGGCTCCTCTATCACAGGACTGTTCTGCCGGCAGCACCGGGGGAGGAGGTCCATGTGGCAAGCATCAAGGATCTTGACAAAATGGTGGAGGTAGTAGACGGCGTGGATTCGGTCGTTCACATGGCTGGCGATCCTGAAGTCGGTGCAACGTTTCAATCGGTCTATGAGAACAATATCCTAGGCACCTACTGCATCTACGAAGCAGCCCGGCGAACCGGTGTGCCCCAAGTTATCTTTGCCAGCACCAATCATGTGACCGGAATGTATGAACAGGAAGGTGTCTACACAACGCCCGAAATGCCAGTGCGACCCGATAGCCACTACGGTGCCAGCAAAGCCTACGGCGAAGCACTCGGCAGATACTATGTTGATGAATTCGGGCTGTCGGTGCACTGCTTGCGAATCGGCACTTTTCAACCGGTGGAGTCGGTGCAGAACCGGACAAGCGATCGAATCCTGTCCACTTGGTTGAGCCACCGAGATATGGTACAGATGACCAAACGGAGTATTGAGGCAGCATCGGTGAAGTTCGGCATCTACTACGGCATCTCGAATAATACACGCGCCTACTGGGACACTGAGAATGCGCGGAAAGAGATAGGCTACGCACCCGAAGACAACGCCGAAGATTACGCTTGAGCGTCGTTTGTAGAAAGAATCACCCCCATGACGCTTTGGGTATCGCTCAGATCATCAAAGAGGGCATCCGGTTGATATGGCATTAACTGTTCACGAGAATATTGACCAGTAGCCACGGCGATGGCATAGGCACCGGCGTGACGAGCGCACTCAATATCACGGGGTGTATCTCCAATAATCACGGTGTCTTTTCCGATGAACCTTTCGCCCGTTTGCTCAAAAGCACGACACGCAGCGATAGCTGGGAGCGCATTACGGGAACGTGCGTCATCCCCAAATGCGCCGAACTGGAAAAAGGGGTTCAAATTAAAAACGTCCAGCTTCGCAGCCGCACCGCCTTTATTATTACCAGTCAAAAGACCGGGCAAACACGCCTCATGGTCTGCCACCGCTGAAATTAATTCCCGTACACCGTTCAACAACCTAACATTCGCACCTTCCGCTTCGCAGCCTTCTCTCAAAAGTTTAGCGATACGGTCAAAAAAATCGGGCAGTAGCTGTTGGATGGTGCTTTCGGGAAGCACACCCTCTAAGATGTCATGTACAATCTGCGTGTCCATCCCCCCCGACATCCGTACCCGCCCAAGTTCGGGGGTCGGGTTGTCCCCGAACATCTCCTTTTCGTGGCAGACCTCCTCAATCGCTTGGTAGAGAGCCCTGCCTCCGATATCCGCCTGTGCTCAGTATAGTGCCATCAATATCAAATAAAACCAATTTTCTCATCTACTGTAGTTGCCCTCAAGTTGTTTTGTCAGCCGTTTTGCATATTCCAAATTAAAATTTGGTATCATTCCCTTTATAAATTCGCTCGCCGCGCATCAGAACCCGCTTCGGATTATCAAGAGAAAGTTCATCAAGGGTATGATAACCCAGTGTCATGCTCATGCGCGTTCCATCTGTCTGATTTTGCCGGCGGAATGAATATCATGCTATCAATGGCAAGCAATCCGCCGGCGGTCATGGGAACGGGGATGACCTGGTCCAAAGCAATTTGATGCAAGGGCTCACCATCGTTTAGATTCACGAAGTCCGGCAATATGTGTGACCCCGGCACCACATGGGTGCAGCCGTTTTCCAAATTGGTATCCTCAAGGTAAACCAACACCGTTACAATGGTGCGAGACCAATGTCTTACATCACGGTGGAGTTCCAACGAGGCGGTCGAATCGCGGTCACGCAGATAACGTGGTTATGTCGATTGCGCACGAATTCAATATTGGGACTAATAACGACTCCACGGATTGAGGATTTCGTCACACACGATTGTCTCCCGAAAAATCCGCCACGCCCCCATAGATCGGAAAATGCGAGTCACCCGTCCGTCTTTATTACGTGCAACCGGTTCGGCCTCCTCCCGAATGTCTTTTATAACGCCGCTGCTTTCAGTGCCTCCACAAGGTCATAGTCCAACCGTGTCGGTAATTTGACGAAGCCGTTATGCCGAAAAAGTTGTACCTCTTGAGGTGTAGTACCATTGTAGCTCTCCCTGTTTTTTGCTTTGTACTTATCTCCGTACCTAATCCTATTAGCTACACAGGCTTAAAATCGTTGCCGGGACCAGATGATCCTCTTTCACGCGTCGTCATAAACTCAAGCAACACCGGAAGCCCTTCTTCCTCAGTGACCACGGCACGTTGGAAAGCCGGAACAATCTCCGCGGGGTGTTCAATGCGCTCTCCACGGCCGCCCATCGCCCGCGCAAGGTCTGCGTAGTCGCTGCCGAGATTGCTGATTTGATACTCCCGCTTCGGCAACGCCCGTCGCTTCACCAGCCATGCCACCGTTGTTAAACGGGCCGTAATATAGGAATCCGTTCCGCACGGCGGTTTCAAAGTCCAATCCCACCATGCCAAATGCTGTATCTCCCGTACGTAGGTACAGACTTTTTCCGGCTTCGCTAGTTTGGCTCCGATGATGAGTCCCAAGCCGGTGCCTAGCGCGTGGGATCTGCCCCAACCGAGAAAGCTTAACGCGTCCAGCAGATACCGATTAAAAGCTAATCATCCGTTCACGGGACTGCCCGCTCGTCATGTGTCAGCAATCGCATCTTCAGAATCGCCCGATCATCAAGTCCAGATCACACGAAAGGGGTGATGGATCTCATCGCTGTGAGTTTGGGCATCCAGTCACTGAGCCACGTCTCGCGTTGATGGATGCGATTTTTGCAGCCACGTCATCCCTTTGACCGCGCCTGATTCCCTGTATATCCTTGCAAGCCTCCACAGTTGCGAAGGACTAGCTTGCATCTCCGACGATGGGTAGTCCCACATCAAGGTCTTTCTGACGTCAGCGGATCATCGTATGTGGTCTATAATAGTCCTGCCTTCCGGCAGCCGCATTCGCCCTGGACGTGGATCGGTAACGCTGCAGCCGAGCCCACATATCAGATGCGGCGGTCGTGCAGACTGTGGAGCATGCACCTTGGGCATTGACCCGTTCCGCACCCAGAGCGAGCGGATGGACTCGGGGAAAAGCACTTTTCGCCTTTCCCCATCACATTCGTCAGCACCGGCGGCGCAGTCTACGATTCGGAAAGTTCCGCCCGCAGTTCGTCCGTCGCTTCTGCGTATAGCACCCCCTGTCAGCAAGAATGACGGACGTTGGCACATACAGGCAGAGCTTTGGCAGTCGGCTTCACATCTTCCCTTGTCGGATCGCCTTGGATTTTGCACAGGCTTCACATGAGAGGTGTCCCCGTTGACATCGCTCACTTCCTGCATCGCTACACGGTACGTCCGTCCGGCCGAATTTCGACGCAACCATCAGTCGTCGGTCTGCCCTGCCGAACGCGCGCCAGAGAACGACGCATGACCCCATGACCTCGCTCCGTAGAGGTCACTACTCTCCACCCGCTTGTGATGGCATCGCAAAGCGTAGCTAATCTCTCCGATCGAAACAGCGGCGACAACACTGCCGATCGACTGAATGTCCGCATCGGCAATAAAAGTATCGGCACCGAGTCGGAAAATGGGCGGTGGCTCATAACGTCGAAACTGTTTTCGAGTCCCCGGACCATATTGCATGCGAAAGACTCCGTGGTTTGGCTCCGTTGTGACCTTGATACTCCATCTGCAATATGCACAACCCGACCCCGCTCCTGCCGACAGATAATCGGACGGATACCGGCTTGGCTGTCGGCTTCGATCATCGCTGTCGTGGAAAACAACTCAAGTATTCGCTTCCTTGCGCTTCCAACGTTTTCGCATCGCGTCTATCGTTTCATTGCCAACCCCTTCCGTTGAAACCACAACGTTTATCCATTATGGCTATGCACTCCCTAAAACAACACTCCCATAGGACTTACGCAGTGAACGCTCAAACCTGTAGTTCGGCGATTATCGCCCTCCGAGACGCGGGTTGAATTGCGCTACTACAAACTGAGCTCGTAAACTCCTATCCTCATTTCATGATGGCATAGTTATCTACTCCAAACCATCGTCCAGCATAAAAGCGGTCTATACCCCGTTGGAGACTCCACGGCATCGCCATGATTCGTTCCATACCTCTTCATCCAACGTAATCCCCAACCCCGGACCGTCCGGTACCGGGAGCGGTACGCACCCCTCGTCATCAAGCACAAGGGCTCTTTGAAGTTCCTTTTACTTACCGATGTAACGTGCGAGATCCGTCGCGCCAGTCCATTCACTTTCGTTCTGTGCTTGCCCCAGAAAAGTGGCAGTGTCAGGCGTCTAGAGTTGAATGAGGCTGCGCAGAGCAGCGGACTGAGTCGGGCAGCTGCAACGCCATACGTGTGCGTAGGCTGCTTCATTCCACCCATCACCGCAAGCCATTTTGCGGCACTCCGTATACCATCAGCCCGCGTGGCAGAATGTCGCGGCTGTAACACAGATAACGCGCCGCGTGACAGTGCGTCGAATAAGATTGCCACTGCCCATGCAGCGTTCACACCGGCGGCAATTGGCACGTTAGCACCTGGGCAATTGGGCGAGAATATCCACGCCGCTCACAGGCATAGCTCCTCGAGCAAAGAGCGTCAGAGAAGGGCGCGAGCACCTCGATGAGCGGTTTGGCGTTGCCGGTGGGGGTTATGGATGTCCAAACCCCGCGCACATCAGCGTCTGTTGCCCGTCGCCCTTCGCACACGCGCGAATTTTTCCTTCTTCCCCAAACGCCTCCACCTGTGAAGTGATTTCTAGCCCGCCCCCGGACCGAAATGGACTTTCTCAGTGCAATCGTAAAGCCCATTCTTCGGTCCGCACCCGCGCTGCTATCTCCGCGTAGGTTTCTTTCTCGTGTGCATCGGTGTCAGAGCGAGCTTTCCTCCGGCGGTCTCGTCCAGCGCGGAGTTGTCCCGGTCCACACACCAAGGAGGGCACCGTCGCGTGATACATACGAATCCGGTCGATGGCACGCGCCGCCTGAGCATCTTGTGGATCGGCCAACCCGCTCGCTTTCCCATCCCAGCCAAATATCCCCACGCGCAATATCAACCCACTGATCGCGCTCATCTGACGCGGCCACCCACGTAGCCTTCGCCATACATCAGTATGCCACAGTTCTTTCCTCTACGACACGCACGGATCGTTCCAATCCCAGCAGTGCGGTTCAAGTCGCTGACTTCGGTCGGGGTGACAGTTCTCCGAATGCCCCTCAGTGGGGTTCGCCCAGCGTTCAGTTCGGTGTCGGTGTGTATCCGCAACAAACCAACTCGGTGCGCACCGCAGATTTCAAATGTCAGTGATTTTCATATAGTTCTCTCCTCAGGATGCTGTAAAGACCGCTGACAAGCGTAGGTTCACACGTTACCATATTATGCATATAGCTACTTCAATGACACCAACAAGGAGGATCTCACTGATCGTATGTTCCTACCGTTGAAACAATGGTCGGGCATGCAAGATAGCTAAACGGTCGATAACCCAGGAACAACGCCTACAGACCTACAGAATATGAGAATCCAAGATACTGTAACTATAGCAAATTATACCTGGCAGGCAGGCTTAGAGCCTGTTTGAAAAGAGTCTTTCGATGGGCATCAA